CGACCAAACAAACATCCCTGTGCGGGGTAGGGTTGTGGTTTTGAACTGCCAACGGTCGTGATACGCTGATTGGTGGATTTGAATCGACGCGCATACCTCAAATGCCTTTGGTTGAGTTTTTTGCACCGGTCATGTTGAGAAAGCTGGTCTTGCAACTTCAGGATCGCTTTTCTCGATAAATTTTGGAAGGATTGAGCTCTCATTCGGATGGGGCATGGATACATATCTTATGGATCGGGAGCCGGTAATTTCGAGGTAAGAAATTAAATAGTTTGGCGTCAGTTCCAGCGTAAATTGGACTGGGTCACGCGCCGGCGGCTGATTGCTGCCTGCCTTGTCTCCTTCTTTAGTTCTAACCGCCGGGGTGAAATATTCATCGCGCAAAATAGCGCTTAAAACAGCACGGCACGGCGAAAAAAACATGACACATGGCTCAGTTAGTATTTTCTTCAAACGTTTATTGAAAAATTTGCTTTAAATTCTGCATTTTGGAACAAATTATAGCCACCGTATTGTTCATATGTATTTCTTCTATAAATAACAAAAGATCGTTGCTCAGATTTCAATCAACAACGGCCCCCATCAACAGAGGGTGGTCTGCCTGTGGTGGACTACTCAAACCTGAGTCTTGAAGTCAGCTAAGTCATAAACTCGGATCCAGTCTTAATGAAAACTTTCAAGTTCAACTGAATGGCAGAAAACAATGTTCTGTTTGGAACTTTGCTGACTCTCATCTCCAGTTTTATTGCATGGGTTGAAATAAATTTTGCTTTCTTGAGGACAACAATTAGCCATTTCAAAAGAAGACTTAATCTCATCCAGTTTGTGGAATCTTTAAGTTCGAGACGAAGGCGTGCAAAATGTCATCGTTCTGAACCTCCTCAATTAAAAGCGATTTTGGGTTCGTCCAGCGCGAACAAGAGCCTGGTGGGTCAACGCACAGGAGGGCCTAGCCATTGTGCTCGATAAAGCTACAGTGACATTAAAAAAATTCCGCGAAATCGCATCGTGGGTAGGGTTTGCGTATGCCTACTAGATAGTAGTAAATAGCAGTATCGTATAATTATTCGTGTGGATAGGTGCATGAATCCAAATTAAATTAAACCGGATACACCACACTAAATTCTTATTGTCGGACGCAAATATCAAGTATGCTTTTTCTGTGTATCTGGATTCGTGTGGACGTGGCCTTAACGTTGAGGAGTCGATCAAAGTCTCACCTTTCAAAGAGAAAAAAATCGTCCGTACCTGATTTTTTCACCTACTTAACGTCTTGACGAGGAAAAAATAGAGTAAAATAACACAAAATGGTAAGGTTTCTGTAACCAAACTCGAAAACGCTTGGCAAGACGCCGGTTTTTCCCCAGTCAACTTCAGCTATGTTCACACGGCACAGGACGAATTTTCGACCGGTTGAAATGAGAAAAGGCCTCTCGGTTTTAAGTCCCAAAAAGAGCTCTGAAGAGACTGTGTTGCAAGCTTAATCGATCATATTGCAATTTCTAACACTTCTAATGACATTACCGCACGCTGGCCTGGTTATGACCCGAACTGCTAAATACGATGTTGCATAAAAGAATAAAAGTCAGATTTTGCATGGGAATGTAAGGTTCGTACAGAAAAAGCTACCTAATTCGCCTCTTCTTTGTATCGCTTATTTTTCCCGGCGTTTTGGGAAGTTTCAGAGTTATTTCAGCTGTTATATAACCAAGAGCCCGTATGGCTCTTGAATTTAACCTGTTTTGTACTTTTCACCAAATTTGCAATAAAGTGAAGTCAGTAAGCAGCTTTTATGAAGGAAACAATCTTAAACCGTGTTTAACTAAACAGGTTTTAAACATGTTTAAGCTTTGATGTGAATGGGGCATAATTCCTTCCAGATTTTAAATAATTGCATATAAGCTAAACATACATGGCGTTAAACTACCTCAAATTCTCGGGTGAGTTTTGCCTCAGTTTATAGTTAGTTGGGGAGCAAGGGAGACGCGGTGGTGAGAGCACTCACCTCTAGACTGTTCACAGTCCTCTATTTTCCCGTACGATCGTCGAGACCGAGCGCTTTGCGTTACGGGCTGCCATCTTGCATGAGTGTCAAAACTACTTAGGGGGTGGGGGCGGTTTGGGAGGAAGCGAGAAAAATAGAGGGAATGTAATAACATCACTGCAGCTCGCGTTCAGGAGGCGTGACAGGAATTTCACACCTTTTACCATTCATGAATTAAGAAACTCCGCTGGTGATGAAAAACATGCCAGACACATTTAGCATCGATTACGCGTGTTTACAAATATCTCCTTTGGAAACAGTGATTTCATAATGTTTCTAGGCCATTCCTCGAAATAAAATCGGCAAAAATAAACAAGAAAACATTTTTCTAATCAAATACCAAAAATCCTTCGTGTGTTCGCGCAAGATGTGCCTTATGGAAATGAAAGCGTACGTTTTATGGAAACGTCGACTTGTCAACGACTTGTCAGTGTCGGCAACTTAAACTAAACCCGTTGTCAACGCAAATTAACATCTATTGTCTAATGACCAATCAAACGCCTGCGTTGCTGGTACAACGCGCTCCGTGAACGCGAGCTGCAGTGATGTTATTACAGTCCACCCCCCCCCCCGCGCCCGTTAGAGCTATAATCCCCGACGCCCGCCCCCTCAGTATATTTGAAAATCAAGATAGCCGTGACGGAAAGACACGCTATGTCTAAACGATCTCACGAAAAAATAGGGTACTACTGTGAACAGTCTAACTTGCCTCCCACCAATGTGGCCCAGGTTCAAATCCTGGCGTCGACGCCATATTTAGGTTGAGTTTGTTGTTGGTTTTCTCCTTTGCTCGAAGAGTTTTTTCTCCGGGTACTCCGGTTTTCCCCTCTCCTCGAAAAACAACATTTACTGTTTCCAATTCGACCAGGAATCCGGTAGATGAAGAACTACTATGTTAATGTGCTACTTCAAAATCGTTACTTATTTTTATTTATTTATTTAGTAGTGCGCCCTGACTAGTCCCCTCTACTAAATATGAAAATATCAAGGGCCTGGGATCAGTTAACTCGAGTATGACGATAAATGGCCCCAACTTTCCCGCGTAAAAATGCAGGAATGTAACCGCTCAGCAGTTTTTCGCTGATCATCTTTTTTCAAGCTAATCAGAAACAGGCGACTCAATTTCGGTTAGTGATGAGGGCGGACTTTGTTGCATGGCAAAAAAACGAGACCAAGTTTCCGGCTCCTAGATGTAATAGCTTTTTTCTACTTTAGTGGGGTTTTAAGTGTTAAACACAGTTTAGAGGCCCGCTTTTTATCCAATAGACCTCTCCGCTTTTTGGTTTTGTTTTGAAAGTCTTTCTAAATCTGATTGGTTAATTTTCATAGCCACAAATTCTTTGAACTACTCTTGGGCTATCTGTGGGGACCTGTGGGTATTGTTGACACATTCCTAAAGATTTTTGATGTTGGTCATTTCCAGATCCATATTGATCTATCCTCCATATCAAACGATACAGAGCGCTAGATTTCTTTATTAACCGCTGGCTAGATGGTTAGAAGGTTAGGGGAGATAAGGTACAGGCATTGCTGAGTAACCAAATGTTAGTCGGTTTTGTTGACCTAGCAGCAGCCACCCTGAGGCTCTTCCTCAGTCTGCGAATATGGCTCGAGCCTTGGTGGTCGGGAACGGTTGCCAAAAACTGATTGAGACTGATTGTAAACTGATTCCCCTGCTCGGGAAACCGTTCCTACCCTCTACTCCGTTTGGGCAGGAGTCAGTGTCCCGTTTGTTATCTTTGTGTGGAAGGATTTTGGACCGTAAATATTCCAATTGAACTGATAGACCTAACGGACGAGGCAGAGATGTTCGCGTCGTAACAACAGTTGTAACACCACAATCTGCTTAATTGTGACTTGAAGTAAATTACGGGCTTGTATCTTTCTTGATTTGTAACTGTAAAATTCGAGGACGTTTTTCTAGTTCGTTGTTTTTACCTGAGATTTGACAAGAGACAAGAAAGAAAATATCCTCAAGAAATGCAAAACCCTTTGCAATAGGATTAACATTTAAGTAAACTTTATGGTATATGCTGGGCTGAACACGTAAATATTCACCACACTGCTTTAATACACTGCCACAAAAAACGGTATCCCCATAGATATCTTATAGGTTCGTTCATCTAAAATATTCCTTCGTTTCTGATTGGTTTAAATCCCCCGGCTAATTCTTCATATAACTAGCTACCGTTGACCAAATTTGAAAGTTGTGTTAATACTGTCATAGTTATGCATAATTATAGTCATGCAACGACAGTAGCATAACGCTTCTATAAACTATCCATTCAGGACTTTAATTTGCTGAACTAAACTGCAACTATGGCTTTCGGAATAGCACACTCAGTTCTGTGGATCTGCACGCCACAAATGACCCCCGCGATTTTGTTGACAACGTCCCGTTACATAGCTGGCAGTGGCGTGTTAATCTGCAAATGAAAAAAGTGCATATAGAGGTAAATTGACTAAAATGTTACTGACTCTTCAAGGGCATTATGTCTTTTGGCTATGAATAAAGATATAGCAACATGCAAGGTCTGCACTGAGAGCCATGCATGTGATTCGTGCTAGAAAGACCATAAAAAAGTCGTTACGTCACGTTGCCATGGTAACAATATTCTTGGATGACAACAAAGTGAAAATTCACTTGAAAAGTATATTCACACTGTTTCATACTTCATCGACTTATCTAATTTCATTTAATTTGTCAAATTTTGGCGAAGTTTTCTGGATTTAACCGAAAGGGCCGTATCAGAGTTTAGAAAAAGAAAAAAGAAACTTTTGGTGTTGTGTTCACCTACTCCGTAGAGCGGGCGCGTGAAATTAAGAAGTTTCATGTCGCAGTCGTGCATCGACGGCTGAAAAATGTACAAATAAAAAAAGCGTGTGCACGTGCAAAGTTGTTGGTAACGTGACGTCACACTTCTCCTCTCTATTTCACGTATACTATGTGAAATCAAGCTACTCTAATATTGACTACAAGGTATCACAAAACGCACCGTGACCTCTTCTATAGAAACTCATTGGAGTCTTATGAGATATTACAGTGGCAACAGTATTGCAGCCATCATGCCTATGCGTTTAATATAGAATACTTCATGGAAAGTGCTGGCGTACGGTATTTACACACGAGTTGTTTTTGTATCAGAAATCTCACTCGTTCGCTGCGCTCATTCGTTCGATTTCTGATACAAAAACAACGAGTGGGTAAATACCGTACGAAGCACTTTACATGTGGTATTGTGTTTATTTTATACATGCTGAGACATTCATCATTTTGGTGGCCTTTTTATTTTAAATCTTTCCAAAATGCTTAAATTTGCCTCTACACACCACGAAATAACAATGAAAACGAAATATCAGCTTTTTAGTAGAAACGTTTCTTAAAAACATAAATGATGGTAAGGATATGAGGTAATCCAAGAACTACAAGTAATCTTAACTGTTTGTTCTGAAAGTAAAATTGAAAATGAGTGAATTAAAGTAAAATGGCCGGTTTCAATATAAGCTTAAGCTTATAAATGGAAGACAAAGTAGCTCCGACAAAAAGCACAACATAAGCTTACGTCTTGTTGTTTTTCCCCTTCCGCTGTTGTTTCGCCGGCTCTCCACAGTTTTCTTTATCGACAGTGAAACAAACGAAACTATTCCACTCCATTTCTGAAATGTTTTTTACTTTTTTAACGAGAAAAAAACTCTTTGAGAAAAACTTCTCTCCTCGAATGTGTGCGAAGTGGCGCTCAGCAAGCTGCAAGAAAAGGCGGGAAGTTTGGCGCGCAACTCACACACCTCTGTGACTTCTGATTGGACGCATCATTTTCTCACATGCAAAAAACCTTGTTCGCGATTCTGATTGGACGTATCATTTTTTACACTTGTGAAAACCATAGTTCACTCCTCTGATTGGCTAGCACTCATTTGCGTATCAAAATTTACAACACAACTTTTTGGTGAATATTTCTCAGTATGTATATAATAAAGGTTCATTATCAGCATCACTACAAGCAAGTAAAGCCCAGCAGATTGCCAAGACTGTAAAAATCTTGTTTTCTTCAGACCAAAATTAAATTCTCTAATCTATAATCTTTCTGGGCAAAATACCTGAACAAACAGATGACTTGATCGTGTCAATTTTTCCCTGCAGTTGCTGGAAGCTCTTGACAAGAACCACACGTTGTTCTTCTCCTGCTATCTGTATCAGGGTTGCATTATTTATCTTTAGTCCAATCCCAACTGCTACTGTGTAAACGCCCTTGTCCTAAATTTAACACATTAACGAGAAAAGAAAAGAGGCTAAAGTACTATTGACCCTCGGACGTACACGCAATTTCATACCCCCACCGTGGTACACCCTTTTGATATGTTGCAGTATTTCAAAACGATTTTGCCTTCAGTGGAAAGCCTTTGATCTTCTCAACGTAACAAGATGAGGTATAATTTATGAGTAGTGGCGCTGCTGGAGGCCTGTGACGTCACCACATATGCTCGCCACCTTGAATTTTACCAAGAATTGGAAATCAGGTTAAAATCGCGATAATCGTAACCATAGTAATTGACCATCACTAATCTTGTCTCAAAATGTGCGCCAGGGATAAACGAACAGCTACTGAAAACGTCAGATGCTGATGTTTCAACGTCTAGGACAAAACTCAAAAATCCTCAGGGGGAGGTGGCAACCTCCCCCTCCCCCTTGTACGTCGGAGGGTTAAGCAATGCTTTACGCAAACTAAGATGGTGGAAGTAAAGTTATTCGGAGTATCACTGATACAGAAATTTATCAAGTAACGCAAGTATACCACTCAGTAGTGGTTTTATTTTCTTTACAAATGCATAGGTAGTCTAACCAGGGTAACAAAGATAAGGAAAAGGTACTTTTTCTTTCTTTGCTTTTTGGCTGCGTCGTTTTGGTCAGTTAGGTTTAGTGAGAAGAAGAGGGCAGCGGTCAAATTCCGCCCGTATGAGATTCGTCTCTAGAACTAAGGTTTACATAAAAAACGTGAATTTTTGAAATTCGCGTTTATTTCCTATAATAAGGTATTTTGCCAGCAGGGAACGGAGGACTGGGTCCTCTAAAAGTAATCGCGAGTAGATTCTGAAATATTTACATGACTTTGTGTCTTGTTGTTCATTTGCAAATTTAAATCAGTCTAGAAAGTATTCACTTGAACTACTAAATTTGTTTTTTTTTTAGTGTTATACCTTAATGGTACCTTAAGTTTCGCGGGTACTTAATTTCGCGATTTTGACGAGAAAGTATTTTGAGCGGTTTTATTTTTGCGATTTCAATGGGCAAATATGTTCTCAACTTCATTTAATTTTTAAAAGTTTCTGAGCTTTTGAAAGCTTTTAGATAAAGTGGATGAATATGATAGCCAGATTCTCTACTCCATATGTGAAGTCTGTGCAAACTGAATTAATGCCATTTCACGACAGAAGATATAAAAAAGAACTTACCAGTC